GTCAATGAGGCACTGAACGGACAGACGTTCACTCCCAGCTCCAGTTCCAGACAGCCGGCCTCCCAGGCCAGCGCGCACACGGGTCACACCCACAAGCACGCACGTGTGCATTTTATTCCATCTGCCAGTGGCCGGGACAGTCCCTGGGGAAGCCAACCGGGAAGGATTCTGAGGATAGGAGGGGAGGAGCCGTGTGTGGGGACACTGGGGTTAGGGAGACGGGCTGAGGCGGGTGGGGGGTTGAGGGGAGGCCAGAAGAGCTGAGGATGGGGGAAGAGAGAAATGGGGGAGAGAGGAGGAAAGAGAAGTGGGGAGAGAGTCAGGGAGAAATGAAAGGATGGAGAGAAATACAGAAACGGAGGGAGAGAAGAGGGCAGAGAGAGGAGAAGAAATAAAGAGGAGAGGTGAGGAAAGAAGGGGTGCAATGGGGGCCTCAGGAGAGAGGGAAGGGCTGCGATGACGGGGGGCTGGGGAGGGAGGCCCGTCTGGTGCTGGGGGGTGGGGGCTGATGGCGGGAAGCGGGTGGGGCTGCCCGACGGCCGTGACCTCAGAGCCCCTGGCCCAGCTCAGCCCTGACGTCAGCTCCTCCTCTCGCCCCCGCCTGCGCTGCTCTTCAAATCACCCCCCCAGCTCTCGGGCCGCAGAGACTTGGGGAGAAGCGAGGAGAGGAGAGCAGAGAGGCCCGCCGGACCCACAGCGATGAGACAGGTGTGTGTGTGCGTCTGTCGGTCGTCTGCAGCCGTGCGGGGGCGGGGGCGCTGCAGCACACGTGTGGCCACGCGTGTGCGGGGAGCCGCGAGTCTTGGGGAGTTCACCTGTGCGCTCCCGTGCGGGGACAGTGACCGTGTGAGTCTGCGTGCCATCCCGCCGGTGCGCATGGGAGATGTGACATGGCCATGCTCACCTGGCTTATAACTCCTGGATGTCTGTGTGCCCGGGGAGCGGAGAGGAGAGGAGAGCTGCGTTTGCTTGGCCCGTGGAGCTGAATTGCTACTTTCCTGTGTTCAGCAGCTATGAAGGCGAACCAGATGAAATCGCCGAAGTCTGGGCACTTCTGACTTGTAAACATGGCAATTTCAGATGGTTCAATCTCAACGGTTGCTATTTCTTCAGCAACTCGTTGCTCCAGACCCAGGGGTGGGGGTCTTCTGTGTGTTTGTTGCTGCGTGGGCATCTCTTCGTGTTGTTGCTTTTTCCTGCTTAAGGGCGTGTGTCCCGAACCTCACCTGTGTGGCTGTTAATTGAGTGGGTAGGGGAGTGTCTTAGGATCACAGACTTCTAAGAGCAGGTGCCTGGGGTTATCTGCCGGAACCTGAGGGTTTTCCGAGCACACGTGTGGGGTTGCGTGACCACAACCCATCCGCGTGACCCTGACTGTTGTCAGGATTAGAACCCTCTAGATGTCCTCCCGTCTCTGTGATCCCCCGTGAATTGGGCCACCCCTAAAAATTCAGGCAGGGCTAATTTTGGGGCAAAGGGACAGAGAAGGAAGATTCCGGAAGAAATAATAATAATTGTCAATACTGGCCGATTACGAGCTTCAGGCTCAAAGCCGTACCTTAGCTCTGCCCTAGAGAGACGTGGCATGAACCACAGACAATTTAAAATTTTCTAGTAGCCATATTAAAAATAAAAAAAGAAAAAGAAACAGGTGCAGTTCATTTTCATAATAACATTTTACTGAACCCAGTGTATCAGGAGTCAGCAAACATTTTCCATACCAGGTCAGACAGTCTGTATTTGCGGTTTCAAGGGCCATACCGTCTCTGTTGTAAAGTCTCAACTTTGACACTGTGTGAAATCAGCCATGGTCAATAGGTAACCAGATGAATGTGACGTGCCAATAAAATGATGGAAGGGGGCCAACCTTCCATGTAATTGAGTTTCATATAATTTTCTTTTTTTATTTTAGGGCTTTTCTTTTTTATTATCATTATTTATTTGTTTCTGGTGGGGCGAGGTAATTAGGTTTACTTATTTATTTATTCTTAGAGGAAGTACTGGGGACTGAACCCAGGACTCCTGCATGCTAAGCATGTGCTCTACCACTGAGCTATACCCTCCCTCCTATGATTATTTTTTAAATTAAACTACAGTCAATTGACAATGTTGTGTTGGTTTCTGATGTACAGCCTAGTGATTCAGTTCTCTCTATATATATTCTTTTCCATTATAGGTTATTACAAGATATTGAATATAGTTCCCTGTGCTATACAGTAGGATCTTATTGTTTTCATATAATTTTCATGTGCCACAAAATATTCTTCTTCTTTTGACATTTTTCAATGTCTAAAAATGTAAACAGTAATTTTAGCTTGTGGGGCTGTAGTGAAAAAGGCAGCAGGCATTCGGCCCAAGGAGCTGTAGTGTGCCGACCCTGCTATATAACAAAAATATTATCATTTTTGTATACAGTCGACACAAAAATATTTTTTAATATACTTTTACTGAAGTACAGTCAGTTTACATTGTGTCGATTTCTGGTGTACAGCATCGACACAAAAATATTAATGAGATATTTTACCTTCTTTTTTCTACACTCAGGCTTCACAATCCAGATGTGCAGCACATGTCACGCAGGTGCTATATTTTCATTGGAGATAGTTCTTTGTGTACATTTTTATTGTGATAAAATACATAGTATAATATTGATCATTTTAACCACCTATAAAAGTACAATTCAGCGATAGACATTCTACTTGTTTCTTTAAGTGGCTTTCTTTTTGATTTGTATTTTTAGATTTCATAAAACTTACAGTTGAAAAAGGAGCTTCCCAGACCCTATTTGTCCCAAACATGCTTAACAGCTTTTTGATAAGTAAGTCAAGTACCAGTTTCTCAATTGAAACATTTCAACTAAATAAAATTAAAAATTCAGCTAGTCGTACTGGCTGCATTTCAGGGCTTTGTAGACACATGTGGCAGGGGGCTCCCGTGTTGGACGGTGCAGACCCATAATTTAGGGATTCATATAGCTCATAATCAGCCCAAGAGGTGGAAACTGATGACAGTTTAGTGTAGAGGACGATGGGGCCAGACGATGAAGCCTGCGTGACTTTAGGCAAGAGAATCCACTTCCCTGTGCCTCCATTTTCTCATCTGTAACAGAAGGGAGTAACAGTACCTTCCTCACATGGAGCAGTGCTTGGCCCGTGGAAGGGGCTAAAACCCCATACAGATGGGAAAACTGAGCCCCCCCCCCAATTCTAAGCTCTTCCAACAACATGTACTGGGCACCTGGCCCTCTCAGCCACTCCTCCTGGCTTATCAGTCCTTGGTTTTGCCATCTGTATGGTGGTGGCAGTAAACATTGTCTGTCCCCTGGGGCTGCTCCTGAGGAGTAAAGCCAGTGTACAAGGTTGTGGTTTAGTAACTGGATTCTCAAGGTTCAGATCTTGGCTTCTGTGCTTTCCAGGCAGACCCTTGGGCAGGTTGGTATACCTCTGTGTGACTCAGTTGCCTCATCTGTAAAATGGGGATGACAATAAAAGTACCTCCCTCATAGGGCTGATTCAAGGATTAAAATAAGTTAGTTCCTACTATATATAAAATAGATAAACAATAAGGTCCTACTGTACAGCACAGGGAACCAGATTCCATACCTTGTAATAACCTGTAATGGAAAAGAATATGGAAAGGAATATATGTATATATATCATTGAAACATTATACTGTACATCAGAAATAGACACAACATTGTATACCGACTATACTTCAATTGAAAAAAAAAAGTTAGTTCCTATAAAAGGCCTAAAGCAATGCCTGGCTATCATGTTTCAGTCTATTATTATCTCAACACTAAGAAACCTTTAATTGTGAGATGAATTATTATTTTCCTGTACCACTAAGGAGGAGGGAGGGAAACACCTGTCGATTAAATTGTGATATTCCACTGAGTGTAATCCACATGGATTTAAGAGCTGTTAAAAAATGTGGAAATAAATAGTATTAGAATCAATATAAGCAGGCATTCAAGCCTAGATAACTGTTTGCCATATATATATATTTATTTATTTTAAAATTAATTTTTTTTGAGGGGGAGGTAATTAGGTTTATTCATCTATTTGTGTAATGGAGGTACTGGAACCCAGGACCTCGTGCATGCTAGGCATGCACTCTACCACTGAGCTATACCCTCCCCCTCCACATATATTTTTATTAATGAAAATAACTTTGCAGTACCTAGTGGATTTTCTTTACAAAAAGAGAATGTTATCAATGTCTTGAGAACAAAATCCAGGAGGGCTTCCCTTCCCGAAGGGCATTTCAGCACTCCTTCCTCTTCCTGTCTCCTCTCGCAGCAGGACGTCCCCAAGCCCAGCCCGGCGGCCC